ATTTTTAATAAAAACGGAAATGCCATTTTTATGCAAGTTTTGTGAATTGCTCCGATTTATTTTGATAAAAACAGAAAGAGAAGATCGAGTGGATCAAAAACCCTCATCTAATTTTGGTGATGATGGGAGGATCGAGAAATATTAGTCCGATTTGGTGATTGGAGGATCGAGAAAGATTTGTCTCGATTTGAGAGGATCAGCTCTTGCATGATGTTAGAAGATAGTACTTGGTTGTATGAGTTGGACCTACAACTCTACTTGTGGGAAGATAGCGGACTGTGTTAGGCTTAAAAGAAAAAAATGGTTTTACCCGTTGCAACGCACATGCATTTTTTCTGATTTTTCTCTCTTTTTTTTGGTGCGGCTCTTTTGTTATATTTTCTTTCTTTCTTTCTTTTTTCTTTTTCACCTTTTTGACTTTTTTTTTGCTTTAACAGGCGGCAGCTATCAAATGAAATAGCTAGGTAGAAATATTACAAATTGACTATTAAACACAAAACATGAAATATCTAAGGAAAGAAAACGTGCAACTCATGCATGCAACAGGCTAATGTGTGTACGACATGGATGTATCCTTGGCAGGGCAGGCATGCAGATAAGATAAGGAGAGGTTAAGTCTCCATATATATGTGCGCAGGAAATCTCCTTCTCCGGCCCAGGTGGGGTTGGCCGAGGCGCGCAGGAAATCTCCAGTGGGTAATAGTGGAGGATGTCCTCATCATTCCCACCCCCTTAAACAATGGCCCAGCTCTGATACCAACTGATGACGCTCTCTCTCGTGGCCCGATCTTCTGGTGAGGGGATAACTCTCGCTTTGATCGAGTGCGACGTTTGCGACGTGGCTATCAACCAGAACAAGTCCAGGACACCGTGCAATCACTACACAACAAACAATGTCGTACCAACCATGACGCACGGTTGATGATCCTTGCAATACAAACGAAAGAACACTGCAAGAACAAGATAAGATGCAATCTAAATATTGCGAATAGGTGATTAAGTACAAAGGAATAGTTGCGATTGAAGTGTTAGATCTAATCGACCCAGCAAATCAACACACCAACTATTGGGGCTCTGAATCAATAGTCACTGATTAATCGAGCGAGGACTAGAGACAAGGTGAATGGCACTTGGCAAAATTCAACTAAACAAAACCCAATTGATTTTTAGGATGTACAAAGCTATTTATAGAGGAAAATAAAGCTAGTGTTAAGTTCTAATTCGTGGAGGTGGAGGGAGACACTTCCGAGATGGGCCTAGTCAATTACAAGGCCCAAGGCCCAAGTTCGGTTTCAGCAACAACACTGTCTTGTTTTAGCGATTCCCATTGACTCGAGATGAATTTTGTCGAGGGGTAATCCTCTCTAGCAGGAGGCTGTGAGGCCTCCCTTTGTGAGTTCGGCCAGGGGACCGGACGCGATGCTTAGGAACGTGTTCTCGCGCAAGCGAGGTGAATCCGCGGAGATTAGGTTTGCGAGGTGGATGGTGACTAGAGAGAGAGATAGAGATTATCTAGGTTCGGGCCGCTGTGAAGCGTAATACCCTACTCCTGCGTGTGTGTTGATCTTCGATCGATTACAGAGAACTCGGTTTTTGGGTTTACAAGCTAGGGCTTGGCTAGCCTTTTCCTAGAAACCAATCTACCAAGAGTCATCCCCTTGCTTGAAGGGCAAGGTCCTCCTTTTATAGATGAAGGAGATACCACATGCACCGCTCTACGCTCTCCTCCCGGGAGAGTGTCCCACATCGCCCGCATTGGAAAACGTCCCATGCCTTGGGCCGAAAGCGATCCACGCAGCCGTCCTCAAGTGGCCCCCACCAAAGTCCTTCGCTTGACACGGGGGACATCCCCGTCATTCCTTAATAACTTCTTGACGACTTTGTGGGTATACGCGCGTGGGGAGCGCCGATCCGCACGTCCCTTTTCTGCACACAATGGGACGGGGCATACCAGCCCCCACGCCGCCTGACAAAAAGCGGGGCGTGGGTGCGCTGCCGCCCATCTTGTCCATCCATCGCCGGGTCACAGACCGGTCAAGAACCGGCTACCTGGCGCACGTCTATCAGTGGGCGGTGCACGGCCTACCACATCGCATTAAATGCGACGGGGGCGGTTGGGGCGCCGCCAATAAATACGCTTGGCGGACGGCGCTCCCGCCCGTTCGAGCTCCCACGAGGCCGCCACATGGCGACCAAGCGAGGGTCTCGGGGACGGCTCAGCCCCTCGAGCCTGAGGGGTACGACAAGGTACCCCGAACCCCCCGAGGGATGGACGGCCGCTTTTTGGCCAAACGCCCGATCCCCCGAGGGGGGCTGGGCCCGCCGGGTGCGTTGTGCAGGGGAGGCTTCCCTTCCCTTTAGCTTAGGTACCCCCAGGCCCTTATCACCGACAAATTTGGACATAAGACTGGATGCGTTTGAAAGGTAGCGAGATAAGCTTTCCATGAAGTCCAAGATCACCCAAATCGGAGTTGGCATGAAGGCGCTAGGTCTATTTGAAGTCAGTGCTGTCTCCGGAGGCCAAACTGGATTCCAAAACTCATTGGACTTTAATATCTTGTAGATCCTCCATTCATCCGATATATTCTTTGGCAATGTTATATATTTCTCATACTTGGCTGTATGCATGTACTTGATAGTCACATCAGAACTATTGAAAACGGTTCATCTTCAACCCCCCTCCTCCCCCCTACGCTTCATATTTTGTTAGAATATAGATGCGCCCACAACTTATGTCTCAACATTCTTTTTTTATTTTTTCTCACTGTTCACATAGGTTGAAAGCACTTCAAATTGATTTAAACATCAAAATTTTAAAGTTTGAGCAAATGCCATGAAAAATTTCAAAATATTTTTGAACTTTGGTAATTGTGTCATCTATAGCTTTAACAAATTTCAGCTTAAAATACAACTTTGTATAAAGAGTAAAAAAATGTTATTAAGGAGTAAAATGAACCATTTTTAATAGTTTAGTGGATAAAATGAGCTAAAAAAATAGTTCAGGGGTTAAGTGATCCATTGAATTAGTTTGGGGAAGTAAAATGTACTTTTTTTTCTTATAATTAAAACTTAATTAATCATGCGCTAATAGTCTTTTTATTTTCCGTGCCCTAACTTCATCTTCATTAGAACCGAACAGGTCTTAGCTCAGTTGTAGTTGAGCTAGCTGCGCCGATTCTAATTAGTTTGGAGAATAGGAGTTTGGTTGGGAGTCAAGTCGAGTCATTGAACGGTCGGAGTTCCTTCCAAAGGAGCTGCCTTTGAAGTTTTGGAGCATCACCAATGTACTCCCTCCATACTGATAAGAAGTTGTTTATGAAAATGTTTAAGTCAAATCTTGGGAATATAAATTATAAATAACTCTCTCAAGTTGTTAAGTTTATAAATGTAAAAATTATATGAATAGATTTGTCTTGAAAAATATTTTCATAAAAGTATACATATATCACTTTTCAATAAATATTTTTATAGAAATAAGAAGGTCAAAGTTGTATTTTGGAGACCGTGTCGCTGTCCTAAACGACTTCCTTTATAAGTATGGAGGGAGTATATGGTAAAAGTGATCCATATAAATAGGACCCACGTACATAGATTTTAGCTGTAGCAATTCTCAAAATGTATATAGATACATGATAGCATTAGGAAAAAAGAGAAGTAGAGATAGATATTATTGTTTATTATATGTGGGTAGCTAATCCTAACGACTGACATACGACTGACATATAAGAGGCTGAACCAGGGTTTACGATTCCGACGAAATCTGACCGGACTTCACGAAATTTTGACGTTTCGACGAGGCTCGAAAGTAGAAACCGTCTGAGATTTCGAGAAGTTTTATCTCAATTCAAATTTGAATTGATAAAAAAAAGAAAAAATCAAATAAAATCTTGTAAATACTATGATACTCATATAATCTATTGGGATATAAATTTTCGAAAAAAATGATATATTGTGTGTATTTACTGAAACTTACATCAGGAAAGAAAAGAATAATGAACTAAAAAAAGAAAACCCTTACATGGGCCAAAACCGATCGGAATTAAAAAAAGGAAAACACTTACTGATCGAAATTTCGATGATTTCGATCGGAATTTCGTCAAAACCGACCAGTTTTCGAGAACTTGTCGTCAAACTCAGGGAATTTATATTCAAATTTTGGTTTATGAAATTTGTTCGGAATTTACCACCGAATTTCGTGAAATTCTGAATTTCGCCAAGGGCATGTCGAAATCGTAAACCCTAGGCTGAACCCCCCCCCCCCCCTCCCCAAACCGACTACATTGTGGCTGCCCTATTTCGTTGCATCTTTCTGATATGTTACCAATTATTTTTTACATCCTTTGCTTTACAAACTTAGATGTGAATAGTGTGACAAGCAGCAAAACACAGCCAAATACGTTTCGAGCCAATCGAGGAAATGCAGGCTGTCGGGCTGTCTCTTGACCAACAAATCGTGCAAGACGGCAGGAGGCAACTCTGAGATAGTCTTTGGAGAGCAGACAAACGCTAGAACAGCCAAATCACAACTTTTATCTACATATCAGCAACATATTTTGAATTACAGAGAAATGATATCAAATTAAACAGAAGAAACGGCTTTACCCAAATGCTCTGGCTCATTAAACTATGCACTGGATGCTCTGGCTGGTTCATTCAATTCACTAAGCCACTAACATATATTATCACCAAGAGGGACAAAATCATGCTCTCTTTTTTTAACCAGCAGCTTTCAAAATTAGATTATTTTTTTCCCTGCTCCTTGCATTCTAGTACTCCTACTGGACATTAAAATGGCTCATTTGGAACACAGGGAAGGCCGTGTTTAGTTTCCCCCCTATTCCCAACTTTCCATCACATCATATCACATCAAAAACTTTCCTACACACATAAACTTCTAACTTTTTTTCCAAACTCCCAACTTTCTTCAAACTTCCAACTTTTTTCAGGAACTAAACACACCCGAAATAAAACATAGGAGATAGACTATGCCACAAGAGGAATCAGCAATGAAAGAGTGGGGAAATATATTCAATTATTATTAGTGAAGCATCTTATTGCCTGCTTTTACACCCCAATAGCTTATACATCCCAACAAAAAATCGTAAATTCAACACCGGCAACAACAAAACCCCAAAACTCACTTTGTTTTGACACTGACGCCATCTGTTCCAGCGATGATCACCGAAGTCGCCATGTCCAGGAACAGCCCATGCTCAACGACGCCTTCCAAAGCTGAGATCTCCTTCCCTGCTGCCAACGCATCCTTGATCGGCGTCTTGAAGTATAAATCAACGATGTAGTTTGAGTTGTCGGTAACGTAGGGTTTGCCGCCTTCATCCAATCTCAGCTTCGCCTCGCATCCTTCATCGTTAAACAGATCCTGCAATCTCACTTGGTTGTACTTCCAGCAGAACTGCACAACCTCCACAGGCATGGCTAGACCACTCCCTCCTAAGCCGGTAACTAGCTTTGTCTCGTCAACAACAACGATGAACTTGTCTGATGCTGCCTCAACCATCTTCTCCCGGAGAAGGGCACCACCTCTCCCTTTCACAAGGTTAAGGTCTGGATCGACCTGTTTTGATACCAAAATGGAGGTATTCAGGTAGGTAGCTATAAAATGGTGACTTGGGAGAAAAGCAGGGACGAGGATACCAAATCATAGACAATAAAATTACATAATATTTGACCATAGAGCAGCTGTTTGCATGTCATGGCTTGATCCTGCTAACTTTATCATCACTGTTAAAGCATTTTACAATAGAGATGTGTTGCTAAATGGCCTACTTTCAGATACAAAGCTACACAGAGAAAAGGACAAGGACAAAAACAGATACTCCCGAATTACTACGGCTAATCTGCATAATAAGAAGGCAACACCAGCCACGAGTACCAAGAGTACAACGGTGCAATTTTTACACGGTTGACTAAGAGTTTAGTAGTGATTCTAGTGAAGTTCATGGCACTAACAGCGAGTAGTCACTGAGCTGACAGACAAGCTACCCTTTCCATTGGGCTGTTTTGCTGATCAGCTACTGGGCTGATCGGTATTGGCTGGGCAATTAACACATGATACTATTAGCTATTACAAACTTGAAAAAGGGATTTATTTGAAGTTTTAAAGGAACTTCTATACAGAAAGTTTTCTTTCAAAAATTGCACTGTTTAGATTGTTTTCTCCTTCATAGGAGTAGTATCTAAAATGTGACCTGCCAATTAGCTCCTTTACTACTCTTTAGCTAGAACCATATACAAGATTTGCATTTTTGTCCAACTTTATCCATAAAGCTACCATAGGACCATCACACATTCACACCTACAACTTTTTATCCAGAGAAAGAAAAACATTATCAAGGTTAAGTCCAAAAGAAAAGCCTCATTTTCTCTCCAAGTCTCCATGAACGGTGATTGCAGGACAATCATATAGGCTTAGCACATGGTAGAAAGTCAGACCTCCCCATGTTGAAAGCAATGCAAGCCTGAATTCCTTTTTTTCACTCGGAATGGAACTGAACTGAACTAATCCAAGAAAACTGAATTTTTTTGTCCCTCAATGGATTGAGGAAAACAGTTGAGGACTCATGATGATGTAAAAGGAAGGAAGGAGAGGGGGTGGTGGCGAGGCGGACCTCGTCGGCGCCGTCGATGGCGAGGTCGATGCGGGGGTGGTCGTCGAGGGTGGAGAGCGGGATGCCGAGCGACTGCGCCTGCTCGAACGTGCGCTTGGAGGTGGGCACCCCGACGATGCCGCTCAGCTTCCCGGACGCCAGCAGCGCCCCGATCTCCGCGACGGCGAAGGCCGCCGTCGACCCGGTCCCCAGCCCCAGCACCATCCCGCTCTCCACCTGCTCCACCGCGCGCACCGCCGCCAGCCTCTTCAGGTCGTCCTGCGTCAGCGCCGCCGCCGCCGCCGAAGCCGGCGCCGACTGCGCCCTGATGACCCCGGACAGGCGCCTGCTCCGGCGCGAGCCGCCGCCGCAGCGCGCGGCGGATGCGGCCGGGTGGAAGCGGACGGAGACGGTGGCGGCGGCCATGGGAGAAGGCGGTGGTGGTTCTTGGGAGGTCGATGAGGCGTGTGAGGTGGAGTGGAGATGGAGGAGATGGGGGGTTGGTGGTGGAAGGAAGAAGAAGATGGAGATGGAGATGGAGATGGTGATCAAAGAAAGAGGGGTTGGTGGTGACTTGGAAGGCTAGGGGTTTTTCTAACTTTTTTTGTTGCAATTTTCTTTCTTATTCTTGTCAATAAGAAATGTTTTCGTGTTTAAATTACTGGTCATCTTAGGTTGGGTTCATTGTGAGCATAGGACAAAAACATCTATTTCGAGTTTTTATTGTACAAACAACTCGTGTGGATCTCGGTAATTTTGTGCGACAGAAATAAGGGACACTTAAATGGTTACTAAGGTCGTATTTAATGTCCTATTTTTATTGAATTATTAGAGTAAGCTCGTACGAAATATAAATTCCATTATGTGATAAAAAACACCCCTTTTTATAGCCGATGTCCTTATTGGATTACCTCCTTCTCTGGAAAGGTTCTTTTTTTCTTTCCATTTGTAAACTTTGTTTTCTCTCCATTTCTAGTAAAATTGGGCAATGATCTCTAACAGGCCCAGTGAAAATCAAGGTCATTCATTTTAACCGATGTGACACAACCAGATTTCTCTATTGTATACTAATAAATATAAATTTTGGGATTATCATTGGGAATTAATTGGAAAGGGAATGAAATAAGAACATGGTAAGCTGATCATTGGCCTACCGCCTACAGCTGATTAGCAAAAGATAAAACTTTTATATCTCCTTAGCAATTTAAAAGCTAATAATAGGAGGGGGTAATACACGGCCCTCGCATCGCCCTCGCGCGGCGGCTCGGGGGCGAAACCCTAGCCACCGCCGCCCCTCCTCCTCCCTCCTCCCTGCTTCGCCGCCACTGGAGCTCGTCGCCGGCAAAGCCGGGCGACGCGCTGGGATGGCGGCGGCGGGCCCATCTCCCTCGGCTCCATCTCGCCCCGGCGCGGGTGTGGCGACAATGGCGGCAGGACGACGAGGTCGCGGCGGCGGGACAGCGAGGTCGCGGCGACGGCGTGGTGGTGGAGCTCCCTGCGGCGATGGCGGCGCGGCGGTGGGGCTCTGCGCGGCTCCGTCGAGGGCGTCGCCAGATCCGGTCGCCTCGCCAGATCTGGCCGGGGTGACGACGGCGGCGTGGCGGCGGGTCTCGGCGCGGCCGGCGACGGTCTTGGTCGACGCCGGCGCCCTCGGACGTAGCAGCTCCGGCGCGGTTTCATCGGCGACGACAGAACCAGGTTGGCGGCGGCTCTCCGGTTGGCGGCGGCTCGTCCGGTTGTCCAGTGGTGCTCTCGCGGAGCGCGCTCTGGCGCCGGCTGCCGCGTGGTCCTGGCCGGGCTGCCGGCCTACTGCGGCTTTTGCCGGCGACGGGGAAGGCGCCTCCATCTCCCTCCCTTCTAGTCCTCCAGATCCGGTTCTCCCCTTCTTCAGTAGTTGTTCTTCCGGTGCTCTTTGACGGTGCGGCGGCCGCTCCCCTCTTCTTAGGTGCTCCTCCCTTCTTAGGCTAAGCTGCTTCCAGTCGATGCCAGGGAGTTCCGTGGTTCGGTAGGGGTGGCGTGCGGAGTTGTTTCGGCATCCTGTTCGCTGGTCGTCGGCCGCGCCGTTGGTTTCCTGCAGTTGGGTTCCTGGGTGTGAGGTGGTCTCTGGTCGAGCTGCAGGGTTGGCTGTTGAGGTGGAGTCGGAGCTGCTTGTCTTGCAAGCTCGGCAACGATGACCCTCAACGAACGTCCCGGCAACGCGACGAGGGTTTTGAGGTGGAGCAGTTTGAGAGAGCCTTGGGTGAAAACCTTGCCTAGTGCTATCCTAGGTTGATGATATCGATGCTTGCGGGTGCCGTTTCCTCCTTGGAGGTATCGTCATGTTGGTTCTCTCTTCCTTCAGGTGAAAACCGGGTTCCTTTCTGAACGGGTGTTGACAGCATCTTTGATGTTGTTTCCTTGTTGAAGGCTTCGCTTAGAAGGTTTCTGCTCCACTAGAGGATGTTTGGTGGTTCTGGAGACCTCGTCATTATGTTGTCGAAGCTGCTTGCCTTTTGGTAAGCTCGGTAACGACGACTTCTGTGAGGTCTCATTAGTTGTTTCTTTTCTTTTCTGTATTGGTTTTTGCCGGTTTCCCGTTTAATTAACCGTGCTTGTTTGGTTTTCGGGCCCGGTTTCCCTTATTAACTGGGTCAATTCTCTTCTTCTATAAATTCCGGCAGGAGATTCTCCTGCCGTCGGTTCCTTGAAAAAAAAAGCTAATAATAGAACAGTAAACCACGATGAAAGACAAACGATGGGAGGCATTATTTTTCTAGTGGGGATTGTCTGCAGTACTGCTGATGCAGTAGCAGACACTTACGTGTGGGACCGGGACCACATATCAGCCATTGCTACTACAAGCAGTACTACAGAGGATGTGCATCCTTATTTTTCGGCTTTATAAAATCGTAAGGTATACCTCAAAACACCATATGGTTTCGAGAGTCATGTGTCAAATTTACATGAAGAATGTTAGTACATCAGGAAAAGACATGTAATCTTATCTATGCTGGGCATTTCTGTTGGGTACACCATTTTGCATTGCCTGCATCTTTGATTTCTTTTTGTTTTACAAAAATACAAGTCAATGTTCAGGTAGCTGTTTTCTTTTCTTTCTTCTTTTTCTTTAAGCGAAGGGTCAAGACTCCAAGCAGGATAGTTGGCTCCTGGTCCTGATTATTTTGACCTCTTCTTGATCTATCAGCATAGCAGCCTAGTGTTGGACTAATTGAAAGCGTACATTCGCTTTTACGCTTTCTTCAGTCAACAAACGCAGCAAAAGGCACCAGGATATCAGGGAGACAGTTACCAACCTAAAACATGGAAAACAAAACAGATGGACCTCCTAATTTCATGGCTGATAAGAAACTAGTACTCCACTATGTTATAATCCTCACAGTTAATACACCATTTTTTCTGGATTCATCAAAAAGCATTTGTGGGATAACTGAAGTTGCAGAGGGTAAGTTTCTAGGTTGGCTACAGAAGTAAACACAGAGACTGAGCTTCCTGCTCTTGTGCTTGATGCAAAATGAAGTTGCAGCGAACGTCCTTCCCAGCTCAAGTCTTTCAGGTCTGGCCAATGAAAAAGAACAACATCACTATTAGTAAACTAGTAATTACAAAAAAAAAAGTGATATAGCTGGCTATGCATATAATGCAAATGCTCATATGATCCTTGTTGCACCATTTTTTACAATTTCCTTTCGAATTTCCATAATGAAAGTTGCAATCTACCAGATGAAGAGAACTACAAAGTACAAACACGAAGAAAAAGTGACAATTCCGGTTTCAGGTTTCAGCAAAACTTATGTTACTGGAACCAATTCCAGGTTCGGTCGGTAACAATAGATTCACAAAAGGAGTAGCATTTGAGTAGTAGAAAGAATGATCCAATGTTTCAGGGGCACACACACACAAAAAAAAAAAAAAACCAGCAGCACCCAGCTAGTAACATCAATTAAAATGAATTAATGTATTCAGACTGTGGCTTTTGAATTGCGGTAAATACCCATATATTTCTCTGTATCTAACTGAAGGATTAATAATACACTACTACAGTGGCAGATCCATGCATATCCTGTGGGGTCGTCTGACCCCACAGGTTTTTGAAAAACCCCTTTAAAAACCTCGATTTTTATGTATAAATCCAGAGAACTTAGAAAAATGATCCCACTTAAATATAAACTGGTATTAATCGACCACAGGGTTAAATTCTTGGCTCCGCCACTGCACTACTAGCAAGCTTGTCTCTGACTCAAGAAAAGATCACCGATATATAGATGAAAATGATTCTACTAATGCTTATAACATTAGAAGCGACAAAGAGGATGAGAAGAAAAACTGACCCCATATCGGTACTTCCGCATCGCCCACCATTCAGGCTCTGACTCGGAACAAAATATCAGCCCTTTGTTCCTACATATTAATCAAAAGCTAAGCAAATATAGAAGAAAAGATTTAACAAAGGATCAAGAACCATGTAAAACCAACATGCTGATAATAATTAGTAAATTTTTTAGGGAACAATTAGTAAAATTTAAATTGATACATCACTAGGTACAAAACAGCAATACAATGAAAGAGCATGTGAGGTTCAAAGACTAACCGAAAATGAACTTAGAAGTGCAGATTTCGTATTTCATAGTACCCTGAATGAAAATCACATTAGGCCCACCCTTATAGACTTCCTAATCATTAACAAAAGCTGGTAATACTCCAACAACTTAAGACACCGCTTATTCATAGAAACCTTAGGCCCTAGTTCTATTCTTCAACTCTAAACTTCAACTTTCTCGTTTTCCGTTAGCACGCTTTTCAAACTGTTAAATGGTGTATTTTTTTTAAAAAAAAGTTTCTATATAGAAGTTGTTTATTATCTAAAAAATATAGAAGTTGTTTAAAAAAGCAAATAAATCCATTTTTCAAATTTATAATAGTTATTACTTAATTAATTATGTGCTATGAGTTTTCTCGTTTTGCATGCAACAAAAATTCAACTCCCAAATAGGAGATCGAACGGGGCCTTAAGGTGAAATCACTCAGAATATTTGGGTTTTCACCAGGATATTCTACTCGGTAACAAATCCGCATATAAATCGGCTCAGGCTTCCTCATAACAAGCAATTAACTTTTTACCTACTGCACGTCTGAACCTTAGCTGAACCGGAGACCAAATCGCCATATAACACGCTGGATATATAACTGAAGATACATTGGTGTAAGAACAAGGAAGAACCTTACCAGAATTGGCGATAGCAACAGGTGAAGATGTGATGGATGAGGCTACACGGGCGCGATGGAGGGCTAAGCATCAGCTGTCCATCACTTGCCGGTGACCAAGAGCCGGTGCCAAGATGGTACTGAGCAAGGTAGTTCTCTCCGGCATGGAAGCACACAATGGAGTTGCCACGAATGGACGGTAACCAGCCAGGCGAGACGCACAGGCTCCGCGCACCGATGAAGAGGACATGGTCACCAATGTTCGCCACTGGCACAATCATACCCATGGCAAGATCAGCAAGCCTGAGAACCAAAATGCGCGAGAGGGAGCTGCCATTGTAGCCGACCAGCATGAGCTCGGAGTCCAATTCCACTAGAGAAGGCAGGTGGATCTCCTCGCTCGAACATGTCGCGATCCTCCTTGGAGGAGGCACCGGCGGCTGCGCCACCGATTCCTCCCCCTCACGCCGCCGCCGTCGCGGCGGATCGATCACCGAGGCATGAATCAGCCCATCCCTGCAATTCACCACATACAGCTTCCCCCCTGGAATGACAATGCATTGTCCAATTGGTTCTCCTTCCATGTGCTGATGACCCAATCGTCGTCGCCGGCCGCCGCGAACGCCACGCGCCCAATCTTTTCGACAGCGAGCATCACGGTAACAATCCCCTCATCGGCGACATCGACGGCGGCGCAGATCTTGCGGATCTGGTGTGAGAATCGGGTAGCGGAGGTGTTGTAAATCCAGCCGGTGAAGATGTACATCGGATCGACGGTGGGGTCGAAGTCCAGGTGGAGGAGCTGGTGGGCGAGGGAATCGAGGCGGGGGGAACTCGGCGATGTCGCCGGTGAAGGGGTGAAGGAGGCGGATGGCGGTGTCCCCGTCGCGCTGCAGGAGGAGGAGGCCGTCTGGGGAGTCGAGGACGCAGTGGTCGCGGAGGAACGGGAGGGGGACGCGGATGAGTGCGGCGGCGGCGGAGGCGGAGAGGTCGAGGAAGCGGGCGTGGCCGGCGAGCGCGCGGTGGCCCGGGAAGCGGCCGAAGCCCTCCGGGAACATCATCCACCGCGCGCCGGGGTGGAGGCGAGGGTCCAGCACGCCGCGGCCCCGCGGGGAGGGCGCGGCGGCGCGCCACGGCGAGCACACCGCCCGGAACCGGACGTAGTCCGTCGACGAACCCCCCCCCCCCCCCGCGGCGATGAGCTCCGCCAGCTCGGCCGGCAGATACGCCCAGCAGACGCCGCCGCCTTGCTCCGCCATCTCTCCCGTCGCCGGCTCGCCGTCGCCGCCGCTGCTTCGCTTCGGCTTCCTGGTGCAAAGCAAACAGGTGGAGTCAAATTTAGTCAAGCGGCGAGAAATTTGCACAAGAGACCTAGGAGATTTCGTCAATTACATCTATGCCCCTGGATGATGTTTTCGTATCATACACGCTGTGAGTTGCAAGTAGGGGTGAAAACGGGCGGATGCAGTCGGATCATGGCATTCTCATATTCTAACCCATATTTTCCTTTAAATTTGGAGTCGGGTACGGTTAGTGTCGGATAATATATCACTTATCCCGTATCATATCCCATATTATTTTCTTCGAATCGGATTCGGAAACGGATATCTGTTTATATCTCTAATTCATAGATATTAAATATATAATAAGGTAATTAAAGTATTAAAAGAGATACATCAAGAGAAAAAATGTACAATATTACATGTGAGCTCGTAAAATAGTAATTAACCAATCTTTTGTCATGTTTGTAGGTAGATTTATTATAGATTTTCATACATATTTTATAATATGGGATATACGGGCGGATACATGTCTTCCCGTATCCTAACCTATATTTGCTAATGAATTCGGATTCAAATTCGGATAGTATCGGGTATTCCATTTTTTCTCCCATATTCCTCTCGCGAGCCTCGGGTCGGGCGGGTGGGCGGGGAATACCCGCCCCATTTTCACCCCTAGTTGCAAGGGAATATATCATACCTGAACAAGCTTCCCATACACACCAACTAGCAAATGTCGCAAAAAATTCTTAAAAAAATAGACATATACTTCCAATAGTATTATACATACGTGTAAAATCTTATCTCCAAATTCATTATATTTTAGCCATAACAAAAAAGACAAAATTCTACCATTAAAACTATTAGAATTACGGCTAAAATATTCTAATGAATTTGAATATGAGACTTTGCAGATATGTGTAATATTATTAGGAGTAAATGTTTAATTTTTTATAGAATTTTTCATGACATTTAGTAGTTGGTGTGTACGGGAAGCTCTCGAGTTGCGAATCGTTAAACGCCACATCTTAAATGAAAAATGCTACACGGTATTCTGTTATCTATCATCTAATACCTGCCTCGTCTGAACGGGATAATACCTCTAAGGTATCGCATGATACCTAGTAGGTATCAACTGATTCCCAGTAGGTATCAACTGATTCCCAGATATTAGACGATACCTCTAAAATATCATCTCATCGAACGGGACACTGTCACATCATATTTTTCTAAATTAAAGTGACAAATAGTTAAATGTTCCCTTTCTAAATTAGAAAAAAAAATAGAGGGAGAGATGTGGCTGTGCTAGTATGAAATTGTATTATTTCCTAGGGCCATCCAGGCATAATGTTGACCATGCACGGTGAAAGAAAAAAAAAAGAAGCATAGAAGGACAGAGAAAAAAAAAGAATAAAAAGAAAACCATCTCGCGCCGCCTCGCCCCTCCCCTCCCCCTCCGCCGTCGCCGTCGCCGTCGCCGCCGCCGCCGCGCCGCCTCCCCCCTTCCCGGGGGCGCCTCCACTCCACCACCTGCCGCTCGACCGCCCCGCGCCTCGTCTCCACGACCCTCCCCGTCCTTCGCGCACTCCGCAGTAGCAAAAACCCTAAACCCCTGGGTGGCACGAAGCTTGTACGCGGCTTCGGCGGCGGGCAGCGGCGGCAATGGCGAAGGTCGCTGTCGGCCAGTGGGTACCCCATGTGGAGGCCTTCGTCGACGTCTCCCGGCCCCCGGCCCAACACGTGCGCTTCCCCTTCTCCAATCCCCTTCTCCCCTCTCCTTGATTGGATTCTGAATGCGTGCAGCTTTGCTTCAAATTCGTTTTCTCTTTGAATAATCTGGGTAGAATTATCTTCACTATGAGTTTTTTTGGGGGGCAATTTCCATCGTTGGTGGCAAGTCCTGGATTCCGCGGCCGAAATTCTAGCACTTCTTTTGTTAGGGAAGTGGTATTTCAGCTCTCACTCTGAAAAAAAGAAGTTGGTATTGAAGTGTAATACTGTAATATGGTAGTATTGATAATAAGTCTCTGGTTAACACATTGGATGGATGCTGCTGCTGACTTGCTTGAAATTTGGAATGCAATGCGATTCATTGTTGGACTAGTTTGTTGTTGATTATAATGTTTTTTTTTACGGAATTGTTGATTATAATGTTGTAATGATGTGCGTGCACAACAGTCTGCCAGTGTGGATGCCCTTTCTGCCTTGGTGAATAAGGACAAGCTGACTCTCTTTGTTTTGGTATGTCCCAGCCTCATATACCGTACATCGAGTTAGGGAAGGTAGTTGTTTTTCAGTGTGCCTCATTGGTGATTTTGTTCAGGTGTCAAAGATGGAGATGTACTTGACGACGACTGACCACATTGTTAGATCCAGAGGTTACCTTTTCTCTTTGCTTTGTTTTGCTATATTCCAAGTTCGATTTGCCTTATTTTTGTGAGAAGCGATCAACTAATGAAAGTAAAAGCTTGAACCTTTCTGTGGGGTAGATTAGGGATATGGTCACCAGTTTCTTGTTATAGTTACTTAGCATTGTTGGCACAGTTCTAGTCTTCTAGAAGATGCAGAAGACAATCTCTTCTCTTTGTGAAGATTATCACAGATCTCTACTTATATACAAATACTGAAAATGGGGGAAAAGCATTTCACTTTACTAGAATCTATGATCCATTTGCGAAAATGTGAATTATTTCCAATCATTATTCTCTTGTTGTGTGACCGGCCAAACTTCTCTTGCTTGGTGACTTGTAGATTTCAGTCGAACCTCATATTGTTTGTCAACAATCTACTTTTTTTTTGCAGGAATCTTGCTTCTTGGGGAAATATTGTGTCGAATTTCATTTAAACAGTTAGATGTTAATGCTATTTCAACATTGTCAGACTTCTTTATATCAAGATTGGTAAGTGTAATAATGTGAATCATAGTTATTTCCTTTCAAACTACTGTTCTCAGCTCCTGTAACTTCAGTACTTCACTATAGAAAGAAATTCAATGTGTTACTTTATGTTGATTGGCATTTGGTGTATGATCACAGCTTCTCAAACAAGTAGATCAACAGTTCTTTTTACTTGATTAACTCAGTAATATGACCTTCTGTTGTTATTATTGTCTCTTTGTCAAATGTCGAATGAGATCAAACACCTGGGGGATAGGGACGTAAAATTAATGAAGCAAAATAGAAGAGATTTGCTGAATTTGTGGTGCGATGCTTTCTTGGGAAAATTAAGCATGGAAATATATATTTTTATTTGCTTACATTTGCTTTCTCTCCACATTTAAACAAGCAAACATCCACATCTTTAATTCCAACTTCTCAACCCTTGATGTGAATCATCACCATCATAGATTTCCAGCAATTAATTCTAAATGTACTGTTGAATATGACTAGCTGAACTGCAAGGCACCATGCTATATTTATTCAAATGACTGAGTTCTGGTCACTGCTAGGTTCTAATGTGTGCCTATGATTATTTTTGTGTACGCCACATATAACAGAACAGTCAGAATTGTGTTCTAATCATTGTTGAGCATTGCATGCTGAGTGAAAAAGGGAACATGGTTTTAACTAGTATCATAGCCTCATTGGAGAAATGGGATTGAATTTCATTATTTGACATCTCTAGAAACTGACGACTTTAAAAGTTGTTAGCAAACAAAGATTTGTCTAGGCTTTTTATTTGATTAAAGACGAAAAAGGTTAAACTAGGTGTCTGAGCTTGGTTCTAGATTAGGCACTCTTTAGTCGTTTAGTTTGCCTAGATTGGACCTAAGTGTCATTTGTAAAGAATATTCTCCTTGTGAATTGCTTTGGATAGTTTAGAAGTTCTTATTTTTCACATTTTTATTTTTTATGTGATGAAAACATTGTGTGGAGCAAATTGGTGAGCTCAACATCTGAATATCTGATAACTCCTGTTATACTGTATTTATTGTCTCATGCTAAAAATTATATTTATATTATGGTGCCATCCTTTTATTATCATAACAGTAATCATACTTATTTTTACATATCAGTCAGATTGGCAAGCACTTCGAGGAGCACTTGTTGGATGTTTGGCCTTGTTGCACAGAAAACGAACTGTTGGTAGTATCATCATTGCTGATGTCAAAAGACTTCTCGAGACTTTCTTGCAGAATGTTCAAGTCCAGTCACTTGCAGCTGCTGACCGCAAGGTTTATGTGATTATTTATTTTTGTTGCAGAGATGCTTAAACAAGAATTTATCCTAGTCGAATCCATTGACAATTTTTTATCCTTTTTATTCTCTATCCAGCTATGCTTTCAAATTCTGAACTACATACTGGATCACTACCCTGAGGCTGTCAAAACAATGGTATGGTACTAAGTCAGTATCTGGACAACAGTAGATCACTGCATCATGCTGAAATTATCTTAGCCTAGTTGTTATTATAACAGAAACGACAGTGCCTTTTATCAATCCTATCTGTGCATAGACTATCTAATAATGATAGCAGCAGCACAGCTTTGCACTTCCTTTGCTTTAATATGCTATGTTTTATTGTTGTGATTATTCCGCGGTATGTTGGCACTTCCCTCATCTGGCAATCATATATTATCTTTTTTATTCCGAAATATTTGACTCTTTTGGCCAATCATGAAACATGCTTTGGACAAAACATGACAATCCAATAATACTGCAAGCATAAACAACAAGGTATTTAAGAGTCATATGGGTAGTTTTGAAGTATACGTGGGTATGGGGAAGTGCCAGCTATTCAAGGGTGGAAATAAAATCATTATTATGAGCCTCTGACATGAAGGCTCAGTTTGTATTGAACTGTCGTTTTGGTCACTTGCCCTAGATGCTTGGTCCGTTCTTTTGGTTTTGTTTGGTCATTAGACTTTTAAGCGTGCATTGTATTTTCCGACTCTTGGGGTGGGATTGTTTTTCCCCCTTGCATTCTTCTTCTCTTATTAATGAAATGATGTGCAATTCTCTTGCGTGTTTGAGAAAAAAAGGTTTGTATTTCACTGTCAGCGTGTACTTTATGTTCCTTAGAATTTTGAATGTATAGTATTCTCATTTATGAATTCTGAGGTTTTGACATGGAGCCATGGAGGCACAGTTTCCTTTTCACTATCAATCTGTTAGTAAGTTTATAGTCCACTTCAATTTTCGGAAAGATGAGTACAAACCAATACAAGTTCAATTGGTATCATGAATTTCTAGGGTGATGAGCTTCTGTACGGAATGTGTGAAGCAATTGATGAAGAAAAGGACCCGGAATGCTTGAAGCTTTCATTTAATTTGGTCGAAGCTGTCATGAAGCTATTTCCAGATCCATCTGGTTTGGCAGCACAATATGCAAGCGAAGTTTTTGAGATTCTGAGTAAATATTATCCGATCTACTTCACACATGTATGTCGATTGACCGTTTTGACTTTTAAGGCATTTTCATGTGCTTTATTGTTCTATTAATAGCTGTTCTCAGCCTTTCTTTCTTCAAAGCAGCATACTGATTGTGCATTGTTTGTGTATGTAGGGAGTGGGTGATGATTTAGATGCTACAAGGGATGATCTTTCTAAGGCACTAATGGTATGAATATAGACATATAATATTTCGCTGATTTGAGAGTGTTTGATCTTTGTGGTATTTGTTACCCCTAGATTCTCTTGTCATGCTAATTAATGATGAAGTAAGGCTTCCTATTATTGTATTTTGTTGGCTAACAATCTGTTTAAATCTATACAGCATGCCTTTTGTTCAACCCCATACTTTGAGCCATTTGCAATTCCTTTGCTTCTAGATAAACTTTCTTCCTCTCTTCCATTAGCCAAGGTTAGTAGCTAAACTTACTGCATTACATATGCTTCAACAACCTATGAAAGAGAAATCCTGTCCGTGTATTTTTGCTGAAGTATCCGCCTTTATTTTCTTACAGCTTGATTCTTTAAAATATCTGGATAATTGCATCCGCTGCTATGGTGCAGACAGAATGGGTAGACATGTAATCACTATTTGGTTTAAGTTGAAAGAAGTGATATTTAGCCTGTCCATAGACCAAATTTTATCAACCTCAGGGGCTAAAGACATGGAGAAGAATAAGAATGAAATAGTATCAGAAGCTCTCACTTGTTTGAAGACAGCTATTATTCAAATGGGTCCTTCAGATGAAGATCGTTTGATCAATTTAATTTTACTGGATGAGGACATTGTAAGTAGCATCCATTCTGTGGCAAGTGAAGAAGCCTCTGGTTTGACTTCATTGCAAAACCCGATTCAACTGCATGCCCTTGGAAGTGTCATTTCTATTCTTGCTGAATCATCTGCATATTTCTGCACTAGAGTTCTTCAAGCGCATTTTGCACGCTTGGTAGATAGTTTGGAAATCTCAGCTGGTCGTGAATCTCAGCACTTGAATAATTGCAGTGGACCATCTTCTGGTGCTATTAACTATGGTGCACTCTATTTATCTGTCCAAATGCTTTCATCCTGTCGAGAGGTGGCCTTGACATATAAAGAGGAATTTTCTCCAATTAAATCAGCAAAGGAGTCTTGGTGGCTTATCTTAGAGAAAAAATTGGACTCACTAATCCATATTCTTCAATCATTACTAACCATTGATTCTCAATTTGTCCAGTCAGCAGACAGGCAAGAATATGTTTTGTGTGCTGGTATGTCTAAGTATAATTTAGTAATTTACCACATGCGATATTTTGTGAACCAATATGTACCTGTCAGGTGCCACATTTACCAAAACACTGTTGATCCATGTTGATAAGTTGACATGTTTGCTTCAGATAGTTTGTTTTCAAGTATTACGCTTCAAGCTGTAAATAAATAAAATACACGTAGTATCCATATCTATGCCCTGTGGTAGTTAGCACATTTAAATACACATAGTTTGTTACTTTGTTTTCAACTTTGTTATATCTTGCGCCTCAAGGCCATGCTTTAGTACTAAATGTTTGATTAATGGTGATGTTAATTTTCAGTTTGCCCCCAGCTTCTTTAGAATTAATGAAGGTTGAGCTATCTGTCCTGATTTGGTTATTTATTGTAAATGATTTGCAGTGAAGGGTTTGATAATCCTTGCAACTTTCCCGGAACCCCGTTTACCTCTATCGGCTAGTGCATATGAGGATGTTCTGCTGACGCTTACTTCAGTAATTATGAGCAAGTATGAAAATATGCATTTGTGGAGATTATCATTGAAAGCATTGACCACCATTGGCTCGTCTATTGTGGAGTTTCATGCTTCTCAAAAGGAAAATATTTATAACAAAGTTGTTGACAAGATTAGTTCTCTGGATGAGCCTTGTCGAACTTCAATACCCCTCAACCTAAGACTTGAAGCATGTTTCGAAGTTGGTACTTCAGGTTCAAACTGCATGTTAAGGATTGCTAAATCTCTTGAAGAAGCTGTTGTCGGCAATATTTCTGAGGCAACTGAACATAGCTCTTGTTTTCATAGCTCTTGCATGTCCCATTTTTATAAGCAACTGAACAAAATATTTTGTTGATCATGCAGGTTAATGGAAGAGTAAAATGCAGCGAATATGTAGTCAATCTTCTTGAATGCTACTGTGGTCGGGTCCTTCCTTGGTATGTCAACCTTGCCTTGTAGTAATGTAGTTCTATGTTAGGAGATGTGGGAACAAGTCTGTGATCTAAAACTCGGATTATGCAAACCTAACCGTAGAAAATGTTACAGAAATTTGATGAATAGATAACATGAGCCTGAAACGTGATAGGATTCTCAAACATGGCCAGCACAAATGACCATGATAATGCATGTTTGATGCATGTGGACAGCATTAGTTTCCAATCTTTTTGATTGGATATATTTTGATCAAACTATCGTTTCACAACCATTTTCTTCATGGCAGGTTGTTTAATTTTGGTGGTGTCAATGAACTTGCTTTGAACTTCGCTATGCGTCTCTGGAATGAAATTAGGGACTTGGCTACTTCAGATAGAATCGGATCACAGGTGAAGCTCTATCAAATTGAGTGTCTCTTCTAATTTAAATGGACTTACTGACACCTAGATGTCTTCATAATATATGATGTTACTGAGGATTTGGTGCATAATCATGAAAATACTAAATCTCCTCTCTCTCTCTCTCTCTCAGGATCTTCTTAGCTCACTAATGATGGGAATGAAGCTTGTAATCGGAATCTGCACAGAGGAACAACAGTCACTGATTGTTCAGAAAGCATATGACACAATATCATCGATGCTGTCTCTTCCAGTGAAATCAATGACAAGACATCTTTTGGCTGTTGATGAGGCAGTTCCTCTATACTCTGTTCGTGATACATTTCTCATGTGTATGCTTTCATCGGTCATAGTTGGTCTTCGGCCTCAAACACCTGTACCAGATATGCTGATGATGATTAATCTCTTTACGGTCTTCCTACTGAAAGGACAAATTCCAGCTGCCCATGCATTAGCTTCTATTTTCAACAAAAACCTACACAATTCGGAATTCTCACATGAGAATAAACTGGATAAAGTGATTGATACTATTCTTGAGAGGTGTTTCTCAACAATATCAGTGCGAAGCAATATGAAGACATCTCTCTCTTGTGCTGGCCGTTCAGATGATGCTAATTGCTCAGAGATCTTGTCTGGAAGCATTGAATCAAAGGACGATATCATCTCTGGCTTGGCCTGGCTTGGCAAGGGATTGCTTATGAGAGGAGATGAAAAGGTGAAGGATGTTTCACTGTTTCTTCTTAAATGTCTATGCTCAGATCAGAGTTTGGCTGGCATTTCATCCCATCAGGAAGAACATGGTATCAGTGATTCATCATATGCTTCTCTTGCAACATCTGCAGCTGATGCATTCCATGTGATGATGAGTGATTCAGAAGTTTGCCTGAATAAGAAGTTTCATGCAAGAATAAAACCACTATATAAGCAGCGTTTCTTCTCAATATTGATGCCAATTTTTCTCTCTAAAATCAAGGAATCTACTGTGATGACTACAAAGTAAGTGTCTACATTCGTACTGCTTTCCTTATGGTCTGTGCTGAAACAAGTGACACGGCTGCATCATTTGTCATACAAAAATGATACATAGTTAACTTCAGGCATAACAATCCAAAATGGACTGAAGTAAAAGAGACTTTTATGCCTATTTCTTTTATCTGGGGAAGGCATTTCTGTTGACAAATTAGTTGGGTACTGTAATTTTATAGCCTAAGGACTAATTAGCATAAGCGTCATTAACTATGTATAAATTTCATGCCTGTTCTCATAAAATGTCTTCATCATGAGTTTATGCCTAAAAAGTGCTCTTTTTGTTTCTGGATTTAAGTTATGATATTGCCTGGCAGTGGCCTTATTAATTAGAAAATTGATTCCTATATATATGGAGCCTTTTACAAATGTTATATTCTTCGAAGTTACTGAGAAAAATATCATTCTCTGCAGATTGGTTTTGTATCGAGCTTTTGGGCATATCATTTCCAATGCTCCAGTACCAGCAGTTATAACAGAAGCCCATCGGGTTAGTTCTTGATTATGATCCATACTATTACATGTGCAATATTAATATTAGCATGGACATCCTTTGTTGGATCATACATCCAGACCATGTTAAATTGCTAATCAACCCATTGTTTTGTTCCCCCTTTTTATTTCAGATTCTACTTGTGATGGTTGATAGCATAGCTAAATTAAGTCAGGATGTTAAGGATAAAGATCTAGTGTATAGTATATTGCTCGTCTTATCTGGAATGCTGATGGATGAAAAAGGTGAGATCATTTATTGCTCTGTTTTATATACATTTTCATTTTTTGTTGTCACTGCTGCAAACTTGATGCACATTATTCGATCTAGTTGCTAACTTATCAGTATCATTTTTCCTATGCAGGCAAAGAATGCATTGTGGAGAACATCCACATCATTGTCAGTGTCCTTACGCAGCTCGTTTCGTATCCTCACATGATGGTACCTTTGTGTTATTTGCATTAACCATTCAATACTAACCGTGCATTTGTTCTGTTTATGGCTCAACATGTCTCACAACCTTTTCTTATTGCCCTTCCTTTAGGTTGTTCGAGAGACAGCCTTACAATGTTTAGTTGCCATGTCTAGTCTTCCTCACTCAAAAATTTATCGCATGCGACCACAGGTAATTCTGATTGTAACTTATTTGGAAAAATATGCATGCAATAGTCTGTAGTATCCTCTTTGGAAAAATATGCAGCCGATATGGTCTGGAGTAGGCATAATGTTGTCAACTGTTAATATACTTGTACTATACTATGGGCCTTGGCTCATGGATAGTTGTCTCCTTATTGGCAGGAGATAATAAGGTGTCATGCTTCAGGTCTTCAGCTGCACATTTTTAGTACAAATAGATAAATGCATTTAATACAACTTACCTTTATTTGCTTAGTTCATATTTTTTAGTTCAGATGAATTTGTTAGACGCAAATAGAAGTTATTAAATTGAAAACACTTATATGACAAAGGCATGCTCTTGCAGATCCTACAAGCTGCAATCAAGGCTCTTGATGATAAGAAAAGGAGAGTTCGCCAAGAGGCTGTTCGTTGTCGACAAACATGGTATGAAAACCTTTATCATCTTTGGAGCCAAGGACCTGGTCTTATGATTTTTCCCTTCATTTTGCTGCAGGCAATCATTTGCTTAAAGATAGTGTTTCTGCTATGATGGTATCATTCGGGTTCGGAATTGCTTACTAGGCCATCCTGTTGGCCGTTGATGAGGTAGAAGATATCTTGATTGGTATGTCATGCTACCATTTTGGGTCATTCCAACGGCTCAAACCTCTTTATCTCCTTACCTTCCCAGGTTAATTAGCTGTCAGCTTGATGCACATACACAGGCTTGGTGTCCTGTTGCGTAAGGTGAGGACTGTACAGCTCGACGCACCTTGAAACCTGTTGTTCATCCGGTGGCTGTTGAGTTCTGGATTGGAGATATGAACCCTAGGAAACAGTGGACAATGACTTATGACTTGTGCCAAGAGCTTCTGGGGGACAATCTGCTCACCTGCATTTCAATCCCTTTGTAGTCCCCCTTGATCACAAATCATCCTCATTCGATGACTACAATGCAACTTAGCTGGACGTTGCAATCCCGTGCCCTCAAATTTATCGCGTGCTCCTTAACTGTGGTAGGATAATACTATCATGATATCACCTCAGTGAAAGATAAGTTCAAACCAAGTTCTCTGCATATTTTTGCCAGTGCAGTAGCTAAATTTTCCCTCTTTCGTTAGATTGTATTCTGTGCAAATACTGTTCTTCCTGGAATGGCTGATCTCCCTGCCGAATACTGTTGTAAGAGCTAAGAGACGCCTCACATACAACGCATCTACCAAATTATGTTTGCCAACATCATAAACAGTTGCAGCATGTAAGCCACGTACATTATTATTATTACTGTAATGGTTCATATTTACCTCAAATTCATGGCTAATACATTGGAATGCAATACGATAACTACATATGTTTTCCCTATAAAGAGTTATAGTTACTGGCTGCTGCTTTTCAGCAGGGTAACAACTACTAGTAACAAACTCTAGAGATATATTCTATGAATCTGAAGCGTCGAGTGCAGTGAAAATGGCAATGAAGATGTTGACGGTGTCAAGGTAGAGCGAGATGGCAGCCGTGACGTACTCATCGTAGGCGTGCCTCTTGATCAGATTGTCCGTGTCGTAGATGATGAAGCCGGAGAACACCAGCGCCGCCACGCACCCGTACACCGTCGTCGCCACTTTCCCCGTTGGCACCAACATCTGTGCACGACCAAACAAATGTCATTGAGAAATCAAAATCAAATCAAATATTCAGGATGTCGGAGACGAAAATGACGGAGTTCGAAATCAAATCTAATATTCAGGATGTCGGAGACGAAAATGGTTAGTTTTTGCGATCGATATGCAGCTGTTTGGTTGTTGGTATGAGACCTGGATGAGACCGTAGAGGACGAGGACGAGGAAGGCCGCGACCAAGAAGGGGCGGAGGAAGCTGAAGTCATGGCCTCTCTTGGCCGCCCAGAATGTGTAGAGCGTCAGGCCGAACACCAGCCCGAACGTTAGGGATGCCGCTTCGATTATAGCAATGCCGGCTTGGTAGTTTCAAGGAAGAAAAAAAAATAAGAAGAAGAGAATATTAATTTCAAGATGGATGCAAGGTTAATATCCGTTTGGAATACCCGCTTCAGTTACAATCATACTGTAGTTAAATTTAAAAGTTTTCCATTAAAAAATTGTGACGGTTTTTTAGATAGCTTATAACAATGCCGGCTTAGTTTCAAGGAAGGGGAAAGGAAAAGAGAGAATATTAATTTTAAGATGGATGCAAGTCCGTTTGGAATGCAATAATTTGATAGAAAATTTTGTAGGGAACACAAATATGTACCTTTGGAAGAGAGGCAGCCCAGGCCAATGGCGCAGCTCATGCAAATGGTGAACAATGCTAGAAGGATGAGGTTGATCGGATGCTTCTTACGGAGAAACATCGTCGGCAGCATAACTGCTCCATATTGTCACCCATCAGCACAATATAATTATCGTTAATCCAACAGTTAATCATACTATAACGTGGCATTATATGTATTAGATGTGTTAATTAGCGCTGCATGAAATTAATGTGGGTCAGTCGTCACCGATGAGGGGGGCGACGATGACGAGCACGAAGGCGGCGAGCGACGCCGGCGTGCGGGCGAGGAAGAAGCGGCGGATGGCCGGGACGGAGTAGACGGCGGCGGCGATGGCGACGGTCACCACCAGCTGCGTCGCCACGATCGCGTACACCTTGCGGATGAACGCCCACCGGAGCTCCGGCCTCTCGATCATGTACGTGCACGCCACGCCGGCGACGCCTACCGCCGGCGGCGGCGGCGGGAAGCTGCTGCCGCCGGCGGCCGGCGCCTCCACGTCGTGGTGGTTGTGCTTGCCCATATCGCCGCCGCAAACCAGTGACGCGCATGCACTTGCAACACTTGGTCGGTGGAGAGGACAACGGAGAGATGGCGGGAGTGGCAGATGCCACGTGGCACTATACCCCCTCTTTTCTATTGCAGGATCAAAATTTATGGCTGCCAAAGAATTTCAAGGATGAATTTACAGGATCAAAATTGCTCAGAATTGAGCAGTAAATTTAGTTAAAAAAAAGGGTTAAAACAATGGTAAAAAGAGAGAAGCAATTCCATTCATCCAAAGGTAAACCAAGCCATCCATGATCCATCCGTCCACCATACATCAAGCAAATTAACCCAAATCCAACATCACCTCCATATCCATATAGAATCTAAATTTGTTCGCATTTCCTACGTAGATAAGATCACTAGGTTGAACACAGCATGATAAAAGACCATCCTACTTGTGGCATCTATACAATTGTTGTTTTTGGGTACGCGACTCATGATAAAGGCAGAGCATTTTCACATTCACTGATGAAAACGTATATGAACACGATGTGACGCGATGCGAGGAACTCAGTCGGCTGCCCTGAAGAGGGTCATGAGGGAGAGGAAGAGGTTGATGACGTCGAGGTAGAGGGAGACGGCGGCCCAGACGTACTGGTCGTAGGTGTAGCGCTTGATGATGTTGTCCGTGTCGTAGACGATGTAGCCACTGAAGATGAGCGACGCGATCCCGCCATAGATCATCTGGGAGATCCTGCCCAGCGGGAATAGGATCTGCAAACGGCAAGTTTCGAATCAGCCACCGAGTTTGTCAAGAACAAGATGAGGTGCACAGGAGATCAAGAGAGTGTAATGCTGCATCTTTTGACCTGAATGAACGCAAACACGAGCAGCACAATGAGGGAGGCGAAGAGGAAAGGGCCAAGGAAGCTGAAGTCACGGCCCCTCTTTGCAGCCCAGAATGTGTAGGCAGTCAGGCTAAACACAACAACTGTTGTAAGAATTGCAGACTCCAGAATGACCTTGCCTGTTAAAACAGCATAATATATTAGTGACCACCTGATCTTTTACAACCAAAAAAAAAAAGCAACTCCGGGACAGAAACAGAGTACTGAGCAAAGATAGGAATATAGCATATGAAGAGTAAACATCATTATCTACTAAAATATCTATAAAAAATGTTGCATGCAATGCTTTGTACATACATCTGCTGTTTACATGAACAACTTTTAACCACCACTAGAACACGGGCATATTATAATATGGTACACATCATCAAAGAAACTAGTTCAATAACATTTATAGATGTATAAGATACTAGTGCCTTCCAACGGATAGCAGACAGGTCGCAATGTTCCAAGAAATACTACTCAGATAGACATAGCATGCATTCCATCTCAATTTAATCAAATGATATTAAGATAAGAGTATTTTTCGATCTCATGTGAAAAACCTTTTTTATTATCAGTTTTAGGTTAGTACTGCAACCTAAAGTCCTAAACAATAACCTTACAAAAACTATGCACAAGATATTCTTTGGACCCAAACCACACATCATACTCAAATTAGTACTGTCACAAGATGGCATTATATAGAAGATTCGAACAGTGACAGGGTAAATAGTAAATAGCTTTAGAAATAGGTTCCAGATAATAGTCTATGGAAGATTCTATTCATTTGCATGTCTACAAAAGAAAAGTTAAACATGCTCAAGCCTCAACATTACAAAAGGCAAAAGGAGCCAACATTAATAAACTAACCTAACGTGCAAGCTGATTGTATTCCGAATACTTTTATAAGATTAAGAAACTAAGAAATGCCAAAAGGGGAAGATATTCCAAATGCTTATGACTCGACAAGCATATATTAAAGTGACAACAACCTGGCCTTACACAAAGACCAGGCAAAATGTGCATTCCGACAATGTCTCCGAAACTTCCTATGTAGCCCCACCATAAGCATATTCTTAGCAAACTTAACACGGCGAAAGCAAGAAACTAAATGCAAACGGACATCGATATTTCAAGAGAACTAGTCATGAAACACAAACGGGTGTAAAAATTGTGAACACTAGAAACAAAACAAAAAAAAAATGATGGCGAGATCGATGATCAGTTACCACTGGTGAAGGCGCATGTCATCCCAACCGCGAAGCTGATGGCGACGGTGAAGAGACCGAGCAGGATCAGGTTGACCGGGTGCTTCTGGTGGTAGTAGTACAGCGGGCAGAGCACTGCACACCAAACCAATCAACCATTCTTATTCAGAACAAACAATTGCAATCCACACAGTAGAACACACACACACAAATAAAAAACAATCTAATTCTAGTGGTGAAAACTAGGTCAAATTAGCCATTATTAGGAGTATGTGCGAAAATACACCACGCACCCACCACCCCACCATCCACGAACCCATCGCTTTGCCTGGACGCAAAGGCATCAATACGTGCACGCACGAACACACACAACACGCAAACCCAGCGCAGTTGATCATCCCACTAAACTTCACTACACATTTTTTGCAGGGGAACACATATTTCCAGTGGAATTTGGGGGGATCCGATTCGAAATCTAAACCGTACGCAACGCAGCAGAATCGAACTGATTCGAATTCTTCCCCCATTTTCCTTCGCAAGAAAAAAAAAACACCATCGAAACCCTAAAAAATTGAAACAACCATGTGAAGAACGGGGAACTCACCGATGAAGGGGAGGATGATGAGGAAGATGTAGAGGCCGAGGCCGGCGTGGGAGGAGACGAAGAAGTGGGAGATGGCGCGGACCTTGACGACGACGGCGGCGACGGCGGCGGTGAGGAGGAGCTGCATGGAGAGGATGACGTAGATCTTCCGGATGAGCGCCCACCGCATCTCCGGCGGCTCCGTCATCCCCGGGTAGAGCTCCCTCGCCCCGCCCGAGGTCCCCGCCTCGACGTCCCCGCCCTTCTCGTACCGGAACATCTCGCCCCCTCTCCTCTCTCCCAACTCACCCCCACTTCTCCTCTAGGGCTAGCTCTTCCCCGCGGCGGCGGCGGCGGCGGCGGCGCGAGGAGACGACGAGGCGGCGCAACGGAACGGAGACGAAGACGACGACTCGAACGACTTCCCGTGTGAGATAGACTAGTAGTACTAGTACGTATCCTCCTTTATAGGGAGAGAATGACCCGTGGGAGAAAGCTCGCTGACAGGTGGGGCCCGAAACGTTGGGTGGTCCACATGTCGGTGACGGTGAGTGGAGTTGTAACGGTAGCATCAAAGCGGTTTTTATTTTCCCCGAATGGTTTTCGAATTTTGGGGAGGGGGATGGTGGGGCCGGGGAGGCGGTGGGGCCCGGACAGCTGTGAGACGGGGTGCGGTGAGGTGGCGTCTCTCGGGTAAGGTAGGTGCACCGGATCCTTCTGGACCGAGTCCACCGCGTGTGTGAGCGCGTGCGTTGAGCGGACGCGTACGAGGGTTGTCGACAAATGGAGATATATTAGCCCATCTGGCCCATGTAGCCCAGTTGCGTCTTGTTTGGATACGGCCCCATACACGTGCTTGGGCTGGCATTTGGGCCTATCTAAAGGAAACGTTTTTGCTCTTCAATTTTGTGGACAAATTAAGTAATAATGCCTTGAAAAGAAAATATTTCATTTCTCAAAAATATATATTTTTCATCAACACATAGATACACATGCATAATTGTAACTCTCGACCCTTGTAGATGTAGCTATACACTCACAACAGGAACAGATCCAACGTGGATACTGGTGGGACTCATCACTCAAGTCTTCTTCTACCTCGCTAGATCATTATTGAGAGAAGATGATAAAGGAGGAAGAAGAGAGAGAAGGAAGAGCGTGTGTGCGTGGGGAGGAGGATATAAGCTCTCCCTCTATTAGAATTCTGGATCCGCACTTGGCTCACGATGATGATTCCAAAGTTCAAAGTGGAACAAACCGCAAGAGTCAGGGCGAAGGCCTTCGTCAAGAAAATGTTGAGGTAATCACACCAGCCACAAGAACCTGTGGGACTAGTGCAAGAAGGACAACCACCTTGGCGGAGTGCCTACGGGCGAGCCATGTGGCAGTGGTTGCCAGAATCAACCCCGTCATAAGAAATACGACGAGGATGATGTAGTAACCCTCTTGGTGATGATTGAATACTCCTTTCAGGAAATGAGAGAGCATTGCTGCAGTAGCAGAGGCAGCCGTGAGAACACCTCTTTCCAACAGCTTCGTTTTAGTATCGGATTCCTCGTCTGTTAATCCCTGTCTAACACCATTGTCGTCAACCATTGTGTTCTGGCCAGCATCGAGCGAAATAGTGACAATCACATGCCTCGGAGTAGGAGCTTCAGTTCTGTTGGATAATGGCAGTAAAACATTGTTACCGGCAACATTGCCTGATGTCATTTCCTCGTTGCTGGTGTCTGGTTGGATGGATTTCGTCAAGGCAACCTGTGCTTGTGCTTCCATGGTTGCAGGGCTGTTCGTTTCAGCCATCACTCTTTAAAGTAGGATTTTGTTGCCCTGTGTCCTGTGGGCAATGCAAAAGAAGACCAAATGTCATTGAGGATGCACGGTGTTTTTGAAATTGTAACTGAAATGGGAGTTGCTTAAACAAACAAGTCAGGTAACAATTAATTGGCAATTCTAAATGTAATTAAATTTTGAAAAGGATAAAATAATACTACGATTAATGAGTGCCCCTAGCTAGGAGGTGTGATCCAATTCTATTAGAGAGATCACAAGTCACAACAAAAGCACTTCATAGAGCAAAATTGCTCGATCTTAAATAACGCTTCAAGCATTTCTTCCAACAAGCCAACGGAGAGACACATTTCTTCCAAGCCTTACACAAGGCTAAAATCGTGATGAAGGAAGGCGCGGTCTCCGTCGGATGCGCTAAAAAATCGCGAGTAGATCGGACAGACAGCTTCGGCGGCGCTTCGCCCGCTGTTTGGTTGGATCCAACACCGGGCGCTGCCGGAGCTTGTGCCTCCCATCCCAGATCCTGCATATCGCCCGGCGGCCAGCGGCTGGTGTGCTCGTGCTGAGCATCTCAGTTTCACGCAGCCAAGATCAATGGCCGGAACATGTACACCTTGCTCGCCGGGTGCGGTCGTGGCCGCCGGTGACGGGTGATTTGGGATTTTTAGGGGGGGAGAGGCGGAGAGCTAACGGGGGGATATGGGGTGAGAGCCTGATAGGTCAAGTCAACTAGTACTCCATCGTTTCGTATTACGTATTACAAATCTTTTTTTTCTAGTTTAATTCAATAATAAAGTTTATAGAAAAAATTAGCAACATCTAAAATATTAAATTAGTTTCATTAAATCTAACATTGAATACTATGTTTGTTTTGTGTTGAAATTATTACTATATTTTTCTATAAATTTGATCAAACTTAAATAAATTTAACTAAAAAAAGTCAAACAACTTATAATATAAAATGAAGGGATGACTAGTTTTAAACACTTTATTTAGATTACCAACCGGTAAAACCGCTGCAGCTTGTATGCCACGTAGGACAAATTCTGTACAGAGGTAGGTCCTCCAATTTAAAAGTGTTTTGATTTTTTAATTATATTAACAAGGAATTTAATGCAATAGTTAAATTAGTGAATTGGGCTTCTTTCCATAAAAGTAAATGCGATTTTTGTCGATTACATGGAACTACTACCAGTAACTTATCATGTCCAACTCTAATGGATGTTTAAAAAGGGATTTGTCTAGATCTCAGGTGACAAATGCTTTTGAAATTTCAATCACACTTTATCCCTAGATTAAAAGCTAACCACTTTATAATCCCTTCATTACTATTTAAGCACCATCTTTTTCCTTTATAGTTGAACAATAAATAATTTTAATTTAGACGTTAAAATATAATGATAACTACTAAATGTTTTAAAAAGGTAAATATAAATGTACTCAAACTTATAAAGAATATGAAAGTCACCTCGAGCTCGGTTAGGGTCGGCTTGTGTAGTTGTGCGCAGGAGCGCGAGGACGTCGGGGTCGCGGCGGCTTGATGGGACGAGTATCCAGTACGTGGCTTTTATATTAGACGGTTGGGGGCCTGGGGCATCTCGGTCGCGGATGGTTTTGGCTGGCATCGGTCGCGGACGGTTTTGGCTGGCATCGGTCGCGGTCGGTTTGGACAACGTTTGATGATTATTGCAATAGAATGTCCGCAAGCCACAAAACATTATACAAGTGCACATAGATAATATAGGATGGCATAATTTAGTATTCATTTGCAAAGCATCATTTGACAAAGAGTTAAGAATTTATAAATAAATAGAGTAATTAATTAAACAGTACTAATCCAACGCTATATAACATACTCGTTGCATAGGCCCAACCATAAATGAACAACCAAGCCAGATTGAACCGACCAAATCTCCGAACCAGGAATTAACCATTTCAAACCAGGAGCTAAACCAAAGTATCATTATTTATCACATTATTATTTTTAATTAGTGTGGAACTAATCATAAAAAATATTGTTAAGCTAACCCATAACCGTGGGCATATATATTATGTCAGGGTTATGGATAATACATACCCGATATAGTAATCGACTAAACTCAGCGGGATCCACCATATACCAAGTCTTATACAAAATCATACCTCGTATATTAAAGGAGTTTCAGATAAGAAAGTACAAGTAGACTTCTATATGTAAACTATAAGACTACAAGATTGATAGCCGGAACACACCTTGCTCATCGGGTACGGTCGTGGCCGCTGGTGACCGATGATTTGGGATTTTTAGGGGGAGAGTCAAAAGAGATGGGAGAGCACCGTGATTTGGGACTTCACCCGTTGACAAATTAGTTTCATTAGATCTAACATTGCACACTATATTTTAATAATATGTTTGATAGAAAAATTTAGCAACATATAAAATATCGAGTTAGTTTCATTAAATTTAACATTGATACTGTATTTTAATAATATGTTTGTTTTGTGTTGAAATTACTACTATATTTTTCTATAAACTAGTCACATTTAAATAAGTTTGACTAAAAAAATATAATATGAAATAGATGGAGTAGCAGTATAGTATACATTGTTTAAAATTTACTAGTTTTAACTACTTCGTTTGGATTACCAACTAGTGAAACCGCTTGTGACATGCCGGCCTAGGGTTTAATAGAATTAATAGAATACTCATATCAGCAAGTTGCAATTTCTTTTCCGGAAGCCAATCTTCAAAGAACTCCAGGGTTAAGTGTGCTTAGCCTGGAGCAATTTGGGATGGGTGACCGAGGCAGTTGCGCAGGCATGGTGCGCATTGATCGACGGGGGCATCGATGCCGAGAAATTCCCAGGTGCGCACGAGAGGATTAATAGAATACTCATATGAACAAATTGCAACTTCTTACAAAATAAGTTCTCCTAGTTAAAAGTGTTTTTATTTTTTTAATTATATTAACGAGAAATTTAACGCAATAGTTGAATTGGTGAATTGGACTTTTTTCCATGAAAGTAAATGTGATTTTTGTGACTTTGGTTAAAGTTAAACTACTTTAAGTTTAACTATAAACAACTAAGTTTATAGGCAAATATAGTAATATTTATAATACTAAATTAGTTTAACTAAATCAATAATTGAATATATTTTCATAATAAATTTGTCTTGGGTTGAAAATGTTATTATTTTTTTTCTACAACCTTAGTCGAACTTAAACCAGAAGTTAAAATGTCTTATAACCTGAAATGGAAGGAGTACTACCAGTAACTTAACATGTCCAACTGTAATGGATGTTTAAAAATGGATTTGTTTAGATCTCAGGTGACTAAAATGCTTTTGAAATTTTAGTCACACTTTATCCCTAGATTAAAAGCTAACCACTTTATAATCCCCTCATTACTATTTAAGCACCATCCTTTTCCTCTATAGTTGAACAATAAATAATTTTAATCTAGACGTTAAAATATAATTATAACTATGTTCGTTCCTCCCGGTTCCAACCCATACCTCTCTTGTTTTCCGCGCACATATTTTTCAAACTACTAAACGATGTATTTTTTGTAAAAAGTTTATATATGAAAGTTGCTTAAAAAATCAAATTAATCTGTTTTTTAAAAAATAGCTAATACTTAATTAATAACGCGCTATGGACCGTTTTGTTTTCCGTGCGAAGGAGATGGGCTCTCAACCGCTACCAAAGAATACATGTAAATGTTTAAAAGAGGTAAATATAAATGTACTCAGGCTGTGTTTAGAACCAGCGATGTAAAATTTTGGCGTGTTACATCAGATATACGGACACAAATTTAATGTATTAAACGTAGTATAATAACAAAATAAATTACAGAATCTGCATGTAAACCGCGAGACAAATTTATTAAGCATAATTAATTCGTCATTAGCAAATATTTATTGTAGTACCACATTATCAAATCATGGTGCAATTAGGCTTAAAAGATTCGTCTCGAAAATTAGTCGTAAATTATGCAATTAGTTACTCCCTCCTTTCAAAAATCTGAGACCTATTTCATTCTTTGGTTTCTCTAAAAATCTGAGTCCTATTTATAGTCACTATGTGCTAAATTAAATTGTTGATCAGAAACAAAAAGCCATTATAGTACTTATTGGTTACATGTTTATTGGTTTTGCCACATGGTGAGTTAGTTAATTGCTTCTTGGTTTTGATGAAAAAAAATAGGTTTCAGATTTTTGGAAGGTGAGAGTATTTGTTAGTCTATATTTAATACTTCATGTAGATATTCGAATGCTTGATGTGATGGGGTGTAAGATTTTAGGGTAGTATCTTAAACACCCCTCAAAAGTATAAAGAATATGAAAGTCACCTCGAGGTCAGCTTGTGCGCAGGAGCGCGAGGACGTCGGGGTCGCCGCGGCTTTGAGAGCAAGTCTAATAGTAAATCCCACTGTTAGCTCTAATTCATCTATAACCAATCTAATAGCTAATTCATACAATAATTGCTTACTATACTATTAGTCTATAGTCCCACCTATCATACACACATTACGTCTTAAAGTCCGTGCTGCAGCTGGCTACATATCTATAGTTTATTTTCATCAAAACAGATAAATCAGTGTGCTTTTCCATCGTGTATAGGAACTTTGGTGCTGGTCCATGATACTAATGCAAGTGTTATATGTATTTATAAAACCATTTCTAAATTGGATAAAAGGATTATTGTTCTGTCTTTTGGAAATTATTCATGTAGACGGGATATTTTTTTGTTCGGGTTCATAGGTATGCATTATGGCATTATGCAATTGTATAAGTGATTTAGTAGATATCATGGTTATTGAAGTCTCAACTGATCATTTATTTGCAAATGGTTGGGCTGCTCCCTCTGTACTCAATTCTCAATTTCTCATCGTGGTGATACATGAAAGTGTTTGGAGTAGTGCGATTCTTTCTAACAGTATAATTGTTGGAGGTTAGGAATCTTTTTTCTTCAGTTGGTTAATGCACCTTCTTTTGTCTTCCACCTATTTTTTATTTGATCATCTTTCAGCTAGGGAGATGAATTCCAATTCTCGAGCTAAAGCGAGAGAGAAGGGCACGACATGAAATATTTTGGTGGCCGTTCGTTGTGTGAAAGATTTCTGTACAAAGCAAACACATAATGACACTATTGGTACACTTAGCATAACATGACTTGTGTTTTGACCTTTTTTTCTCAAATGTCATGTATAGCACGAGATTCTAAAATTGGTAGATTTTGATTGACTGAGTTGTGATATAAATTGCACTACTGTATATAACCGTGTTTTTTTTAGTAAATTTCAGATTGGACTAATTTTTTCCTTAATGTTTCACATTGGACTAGAGTTAACTTAAGATTCTCATTCAACTCTGTATCTTTACCAAAAGTTGCACTTTTGGCCAAAGTAGTGGTAAACACGAGAGCATTAATTTGTCTCCCATACGGTCACGAGTCTTTGTTATAAAAGATGGTCACAAGTGAAAAGATTGTCCGTGGGAAGGTACAAAGATGAAACTTAAAATAAAAATATATACAATGTACAATTTACTCTTTTTTTATGAGATGTCCGTGCTATGTTTCTCTGTCATTTGAAACCATGCATTAATTTTCTGTTACATGAACTATTTGCTATTCATTCACTTATTGGAACACAATGGGAATTTATCTAAAAATGGAATTTCTGTAGTTACATATGAATTTATTTAGCACAACAATTTAAATGGCTTCGA